TTTCGATTTCATTTTCTAGACTGAGGAGTGGGCACACTTCCATGCTCGTGCAGGATGACTTGGTGTAGCAATCTACTGCAGGGTCCTCAGGAAGATGTTTCATTGTAATGAAACGATGTCCCAGACCCTCAACAGGTGTGATTCTTTTTACAGGATCCACACACAGCATCCATTTGAGCAGGCTTAAAAATGCCGCTGTGTCTTTCACTTTGGATTCTGTGTTTGGCTGTGGGTGGTGTTTGGCTAAATCATCTATGCATGCATATTTGTCTGTGATTGTTGTACTTTGTTTGATCACAGTGCCTGTAGATGCTGAATACTGAGCTGGTGTCTTCAGTACCCATGTGTGTTCTATTATCCCTTTCCTCATGCAGAAATATTTCGTACTGTACTTCCCTTCCTGTAACATGCGTTTACTAGGCTGACCAAGCATGTGAACAAAACCTTGCATCATTTGATATTCACACCTGTTGAAAAACAGGTGGTGGCCCAAGTATAGAAAAGCTGCGACACAACCGAGAGTCCACATGTCTGCCGATTCAGTCACCGGTATGCCCAACATGACCTCAGGGGCCCTGTAACTAAGGGCCTGAATAATAGTGCCAGGTGGAATTTTTGCAGGACTTGTGGCAACACCAAAATCAATAAGTTTAACTTTATATGGCTGTTGAGACTGATTTACAAGCATGATATTATCAGGTTTGATGTCTGCATGCATCATACCTCTGCTCTTCAGAGCGGTAAGAGCCACAAACATCTGCTTTAAAATGACCCGAATATCACAGAGATCCAGTGGACCGCGAGACCTTTTAGTCACGAAATCATGCAGACTAATGTCTAGCATTTCCATTGAAATGAAGGTGCGATGTTTGTACTCGAAAACTTCGTAGTGCTTTACCAAATTGCACCGATCCCTATCCAGAACACTCAGTTCTTTTAGAGCAGCGGCCTCTTTCCAAGCAAACTTGTTGTATTCCCTTTTAGCTGCCTTGACTGCTACCCTTTCAAAAGTGTCTA